ACCGAAGCAGTCGTCAGTCCCCTCTAAAAGGTAGCAGTGTACTCTCAGTGCCACCGAAGCAGTCGTCAGTCCCCTCTAAAAGGTAGCAGTGTACTCTCAGTGCCACCGAAGCAGTCCTCAGTCCCCTCTAAAAGGTAGCAGTGTACTCTCAGTGCCACCGAAGCAGTCGTCAGTCCCCTCTAAAAGGTAGCAGTGTACTCTCAGTGCCACCGAAGCAGTCGTCAGTCCCCTCTAAAAGGTAGCAGGGTACTCTCAGTGCCATCGCGTAATGGCACGCATGAACTGCCCCTTCACAGTCAAAATAAGTTTTTCGGTGACAAAAACAAACCTGTTAACAGCAAGAAAAAGAGACTGCAGATTTTATTCCAGATTATGTTTATCTGCTTACCTGGCATTTACAATCAGTCAATTACAATTTTAATTTAACTTCAGGAAATGTAAAGAACATCCATGTCTTGAACTAACAACCATCAGGTCACTAAAAGCACCTCTTCTACCACTATGGTATCCAGTGAACTGTAGCTAATCTCCTTCATGGTTTCTTTTTCCTTCTGGAGGTGAGGGTACCCCACTTTTTCATCCGCAGCCTGCACCGATAAACACACAAGCCTCCCCCATGCTTTTTGGGATTTTAGCGCTGGAAAAATGTACCTAATTGGGGTAAAAAATTCTGGAACTCCTTCAAGGGCCAGGAGTTTCCTGTTCATCACCGGTCTGCTGCACAAATTCACTCTAATGTGATTATGTAGCTAATTTCCTGAGTTACTTTCCTTGCCATTTCACACGTCACAGAAGGACAGCTTAACCCCCCCACCCCCACACCTGCCACCCCAAGGCCGATGTATGCCTCCCTCCCACAATCTTGTTGCACTGGGATACCTGCTTTGTCATGGCTCCCCCCGCTGGCTCTGCCAGGAAACTCTCGTTCCAGTTAGCATCGGAAGTTGGGGGGGTGGTACAAATGTATACAGGCTGTAAATCAGTTCCCTGGTTCATTTCTGTTGAAATAATTCACATTCCTACCCCCCACCTTTCCACAGGCACCCTTGCTGCTATCAAAAGGTACAGAGTGATCGAGCTGAGGGCAAAGCCCTCGCAGGGGCTTGATTAAAACTCCCAAATACCTACTGCCACCCCCATACCATGGGAAATAAAAAGGAAAAATGCTCATTTTATTCCCTATGAAAACATTTGGCTTTTGGCACAGGTCCCTTACACATTAAATGTAACAAGCACCATATGGTCAAATCTTAGTGAAGCCGTCATAACCAGCATATAGGCCTTGACTGGGCTCTCTGAGGAGCCAAACCGCACCAAAACCAGCCAAAAAAATCAAGGTTTCCCCATTTTTCCCTTTTATCTCACTCAATAACCACCCTCCACCATTCACACCTGTCAAAAAAATCACTGAATATTCAAAGAGCCTGAATCCCTGCAGCTTCTCCTCTCATTTTCCCTGCTGCCTGAGCGGCTGGAGGCCCTGCTCATCTGACCTGGGGCTGCTGACCGCACACGGAGAGATCTCTGGGTCACCATCGAGTCTCGCTTCCGTACCAAGGTAGTTATCGTCCTCCGGCCGCTCGAAGTAGCTGTGCTGCCGTATGTCGATGTTTGTAGCACCACTGGGAATATGAACGACGACGTTATACCCTGTAAAAAAACAAGTAAAACAGTGTTAAGAAAAAAAAGAACAACAATGATGTCAGATCCACTGGAGGACATTTTTATATTATACTTATCAATGAAATATTCAGGTCAAGGGTCAAAAAAGATCAGCTTTAAGGTTGAGTTTTCTTAGGGTGACAATAAGACGGCCGGTTTTGTGGAGCCCTCACCGTATTGGATGGTGTTGAACGTCCCGGTCACTGCCTTACACGAGGAATTGTCCCCCCCACAAACGCCACACATATCCTCTCTGGCCTTGGAGTTCAGAATGTGGTCACATCCTGCTTGCTGCGGCAAGGAAACATCAAAATGTACTGCGGCCGAGAATGAAAATGGCGAGCGCCATGAAGACCCTCAGAATCAATCAGCACCTTTAAACTCAAATGAAGGTAAAATGCACCCAAGCCTAATGTGATCCTTAAAATCTACTTAGGAAGTTAAAATGAGCAAATGATAAGCAATATTCTCAATACAGCTTATGGAAGACCATGGGGTGGTTCTGGTCACTCAAAGATAAACACAGCCATTAAGAACATAGTTCTGTGTGATTTATTCTCTGTTTGAATCTCTGATCTGTTCATTGAAAAAAGTCTCAATAGCCAGTAATAATTCTTCATACAAAAGGTTAAGGTTTCTTAACAGTGCATGGGCTCCACAGGCAGCTCAGTCAGCTATTCGCTGCTCTTTTTTGTTTGTTTGGGGTCTGGTGGGAGCTGGGAGGGAGCAAAAATGCAGACCGGTTGGGGGGGCCCGCGGTCTGGCCTGGGGGGCCCTGTGAACTGGCCTGGGGTGCCCTGTGGTCTGGCCTGGGGGGCTCCGCGGTCTGGCCTGGGGGGCCCTGTGAACTGGCCTGGGGGGCCCCGTGGACTGGCTGGGAGGCCCCGTGGACTGGCTGGGAGGCCCTGTGGACCGGCCTGGGGGGCCCCCGTGAACTGGCCTGGGGGGCCCCGTGAACTGGCCTGGGGGCCCCGCGGACTGGCTGGGAGGCCCTGTGGACCGGCCTGGGGGGCCCCCGTGAACTGGCCTGGGGGGCCCCGTGAACTGGCCTGGGGGCCCCGCGGACTGGCTGGGAGGCCCCGTGGACCGGCCTGGGGGGCCCCACGGTCTGGCCTGGGGGGCCCCGCGGTCTGGCCTGGGGGGCCCCACGGACCGTGTTGAGAAACACTGAGTGCGACATGTGGTGCCGGTGCCCCCTGCTCACCCTGCAAAGTCCCTGAACGCAAATGTCATTGGTGTCCGGACTGCATGGGGTCCCATCGATGACCCTGTCCCTGAGTTGGTAGTACGCAGTGCTCCCAGCCACCCTGCAGAAGAGCTTGCAGCGGTCCTTCATGACGACTGGGGGAGGGAGAGAGGAAGAGAGGGAGAGAAGGAGAGGGAAGGAGAGGGAAGGAGAGAGGGATAAAGCTGATGGCACATGGACCCCACGGCTCATGGGGGTGTGAGATGGTGCCTTACTTCCTTTGTATTTGGGGACCCAGCGCACGTTTGTAGGCAGACCGTTGATGTTGAAGTGCCTGCCATCGAAAGCGCTACATTGCTCTTCCCTGAAGTCCTTCCTCTGCTTGAAGCATGGCTCAGAGTTACAGGAGCGGAACTTCATACGCCGCCCTACACAGTAGTCCCCGCCATTCCTGGGGCTGCAGGGACAGACAGCAGGCCTGCTTGAGGCTCCACACAGTAGTTTCTGCCATCCTGGGGCCCACAGAGACAGACAGCAGGCCTGCTTGAGGCTCTACACAGTAGTTTCTGCCATCCTGGGGCCCACAGAGACAGATAGCAGGCCTGCATGAGGCCCCACATAGTAGCTCCCACTGTCCCAGGGCCCACGGGGACAGACAGCAGGCCTGCATGAGGCCTCACACGGTAGCTCCCGCCATCCTGGGGCCCATGGGGACAGACAGGAAGCCTGCATGAGGCCTGCCAGATGATTTGCTCTGGAGCCGCGTTATTCTGCTTCTTTCTGGGCAGCCTAAGCAATGCCGGAGCGAATAATCATGAGAGTTGGGAGAATTCCTGCTGGATTGCCTCGGATAATGGTTGGGAAATTATGTTACAGGGCAGAGAGAAATACAATTTTATTTGGACCGCCAAATCATTTCCCCCCATTCCACAAATTTTCCTCTGGAAACTAAATTGCCCACTCAATCCCTGATCTTAAGGCTCCTTCTGTGTCCAGATCCCAGCCCTGACAGTGGATTGGCGTCTTCGCCTCGAACCCGTGACTTCGGTGTCTAAAAACACCAGCCTGTTACAAGCCTCTTGCCCGAAAGCAGCTGTGAGACGCAGACGTGTGACTGTGACGTGACTGTAGGAGCCTTCTTACATGGGCCGGTTACACTCGCGCACGCCGATCTTGATGCCCCCCCCACACGTGCGCGAGCAGGTCCCGAAGGGGCTCCAGACACCCCAGGCGCCGTCTACAGGGGGGGTCTCCTGCTCCCTGGGGACGCATGCGCCATGTCTGCAGTGCTGGGGGGCATAAAGAGACACAGATAAGAAGCAGAGAATAAGCCCTGCAGAGCAGCGGCATGAAACGCGACTCTGTGAACACTTCAAAAAGTAATAAAAAAGCAGCAAAAATTTAAAAAGAAAAAATAGGCTTGGAATCTCCAAAAATTCCAGGCTGTAAAGTTAAAGAGGGATATCGGCACTTTATGACTGACATCAGATTTAACTGCATTCAAAATTGCACGCATGGGTTTGGTTCAAATGCCCGACGTGCAAACAAGTCTCTGATGCCCCAAAGCCTTTCAAGCAGGAGAGCGAGCAGGAAGCATTTGTTTGTACACTGCTAATTAAAAGCCAGTGTAGTGCAGTGACGGATAGGGAAACCTCCATTGACCTCCGGTCACAGTTACCATAAGCCATAACAAGACAGACTACGGTGAGAACAAAGTCTGAAAACCGTTTCAGCAAGCGATCCGATTAGAATCACATGCACTGCTCTCTTACAGCTACTAATGTGTGGGCCAATGAAAATTAAGTACAGTTTTGGTCAGCTTTTATTTTCTATCCCACTTATCCTAGTTATTTAGCTTTACAACAAGAATGCTTTAAGCGCTGCCAGATTCGGGGAAACGTAACGATATAAAAATAGCACTGTGCAGAGATGTGATTGCAGCCGGCCCAGGTGGCACTGCACGGCTGGCTCAGGTGGCACTGCACAGCCAGCACTGCGCAGCCGGCTAAGCAGCATAGCGCAGCCAGACCAGGCTGCACTGTGCAGCCGGCCCGGTGGCACAGCGGAGCCACTCCCGCGCACTCGCCTTGCCCGATGCGCACTCGGTCCCATCTGCCCACGGCATGTGCTGGGTCCGGCAGCCGCGCTGAGCTTCTTCTGGCCTGGTGCACCACAGCCTCCGACACTGCATCTGGACAGCATCAACACGCCGTTATCTTCACAGGGAGGACGTGGCGGGGGCCACAGCAGTAAATATCACCATAGCACACATTTATCTGTATATCAGAGTGTAGACTTGGAACAAACAGTTTCCACACAGAAAAATACTTGTGTGTGTATATATGCTGACTCATGTGAATTTCTGACCTAATATTTTTGCAGCTATATGCTATAAACAATGTAAAGCTCGAGGCATTAAATTATCTAGGGTTTTCCTTCCTCTAGCTGGTCACATTGGAGATTACGAATGCACGGGGAATTTTACCGTATATCTTACCATATATGGGCACACCTGCATTCCGGGCCCAAATATCAATTCACATTGTTTATTAACACTGTATGTCTGTCCGGCAAGCTGCTGAGGCAGAACGTATGGTCTAGATATCGGCTCATCAAGCAAGCATTCGCCATAGCCTGTGCTATTAAGAAATAATAAAAAAGAAGACTTAAAGAAAAAACAAAAGAACAAAGACAAACAGACAAAAAACACCTTCAGTACAGTGAGAGTGGCTCATCTGTTGAGACAGTCTGCATGCCAGTCATCTACAGAGAGCTTGGTGCTTATGATGCATGAACCCGGCCTGCTACATACTCAAGGAAGTCAGTGATGTATTTCCTGCTACATTTGGACCAAGTCCAGTGGTTGGTGTCATAGTTCAACATGGGGGCCATCACATGCTGCTGGCTCTTCACATGTTCCTCTTTGCATTTGTTACTGTCATCGTGAGGCATGTTGAACCTAAGGGGCAAAACAACACCCAAATATCACCCCAGCCCACAAAACAACACCCAAATATCACCCCAGCCCACAAAACAATACCCAAATATAATCCCAGCCTACAACACCCAAATATCATCCCAACCTAAAACACCCAAATATCACCCCAGCCCACAAAACAACACCCAAATATCACCCCAGCCTACAATACCCAAATATCATCCCAGCCCACAAAACAACACCCAAATATCACGTCAGCCTACAAAATAACACCCAAATATCATCGCAGCCTACAAAACAACACCCAAATATCACCCTAGCCCACAAAACAACACCCAAATATCACCCTAGCCCACAAAACAACACCCAAATATCACTCCAGCCTACACCCTTGGTGCATTGAGCCCCACTGTCTCTCATAACTGCAAAAGCCTCCAGATGGTGTTAGAGGACATTTAATGGTTGCTGTTACAGGCCATAATACACACACCTTCAAACAAAAGAGACAATAAATAATAAAGATGTTGAACTGAACAAGGACAGATACTGAGTGGTTAATATAGGAGCAATACTCTTGTATCACATGGTTATAAGCCAATGGGAAGTGTGCAGACAATGCCCATCTACTGCCTATTTGATGCAGAGCAAGGTCACTAATCCGAAGGATCGAAGGATCACTGATCCGGCACAGAACAGCGTGTGGAGAGGCGCACTGCCCACTGCCCACTGCGCACTGCATCAGCAGGGAGACTCACACGTGTCCCAGCTCGTGGGCGATGGTGAAAGCTGTGCTGAGTCCATTATCTTCACTGAGACTGCAGCTCCGGTACGGATCACACACTGTGCCGAGCTCTGCCAGGCCTGCAGGTCCAGCGTCCAGCGTCATCCAGCGTCATCCACCACGCCATCACCGCCACCAGCATCATCGGTCAGAAACCACTTATCATTAATAATCATTTCCTGACTGCTTCTTTATGTTGGCAAGACTTGGCATGAGAACTGTTACAGAAGTCCAACATATGTATGACCTTATGAGCTTGATGAGAGCAGAGCTTACCTAACGTATCACACTTGTCCCGTGCCCTACAGATGTCCTGCCTATAACAGAGAAGCAGATTCAGGCCACTGTCACCAAAAGCATTCAATTGTAGAGCAACCTCCACGCATCTCCCAGTTCGACCTGTTTGTCCCCGATCATGAACCCAACTGAGTTCCAGTCTCCCGCCATTTCACCAGAATGAAAGAAGGTCCCAAATATAGGGCTACCATACTGTAATGAGGTTCATCTACCCAGTGGTAATCGTTTTTTCAGTTAAAAACAACTGGTATGACAGTGCTACAGAGTCACACTGCTCTCTATGTGGGTCTTCTGACAGAGACCATTGAGTTTGGAACTATACTGAACTGCACCCTAAGCTTACTACAGAGCTGCCCCCAACGGCCATCATGCGGCAACAGTTGGTGTTACAGTAATGGAGCTGTAACAATCCAGCAAGGGTGAAACCTGGGATTATTCTCGAAAATAGATGACTTTGTAGGCTCCTCTACACAGAAGAACCAGGTAATGTGAGGGTGCAGTGTCATGGTAACAGAAAGGTCTACCTGGTGATGAGAATAGCGGTATCATGATGGGAGTAGTGGTTATCATCCGGGTGGTTCTCCCTTTGCTGCCAAACGCAGAAGTTCCTTAAAGTGTCCTGTGCATCAAAGCTGATTTTCAGATTATCCTGTAGAAAGACACAAATCGCTTTCGTCCTTTAACATGGACAGGGGAGAAGTGTGTGCTTTATACTGCAAAGTGCTACAGGTAGAGGCAAACGTTACAGACACTTACCGATTCCTTACTGAGTATAACCAGCTTCACAATGACTATATTTATTAGGTTTCCAAGGCTTGGATCTTTATATATGGAAGCAACCTGAAAAAGGCAAAATGGATTTAGTTTTCAGCTGTTTTTATATATATAACCCAATTAAAAAGGCATTAAAGTATGAGAGTAAGGCTGAAATTTGTATTCAAGCTACAGGCTAAATTAAGCCTAGAAATGAAGGGAGCAAGACTGGTCATTTGACTGATGAAGAGTTAAATGTGGTCTACAATTCAGCAGGGACGGCAAAATACCGGTCAAATGTTTCTAGAATAAAGAACTTTTAAAAGATAGGTTTTTGTTTATAGTAGGTACAGTAAGCCAGCTATTGAAATTTCACGGGATTATTTGGTAACGCTTTACATTAACTGCACCTTCATAATGCTTTTATATTGCATTCATGAAATGTTCAGTACACCATCATAATGTATTCTTTAAGTATTCATAAAACATTCATAAACATCATGTATGTATGCCTTAACATACTAACATCCCTTAACAGCTGTAATATACATTAATAACAAACATTATATAATAATAACAAACATTATAATTGTATATTAATGTATATTAAAGCTGTTAAAGGATGTTAGGATGTTAAGGTGTACTTGCATGCTGCTTATGAATGTTCTATGAATGCATTATGAAGGCATTATGAAGGTGCACTTAAAGTGTTACCGATTATTTATTCCCATTCATTGCAGGCATCTGAGGATCTGTGCTCCCACTGGCTGAAATTCACGGATGAGTTTAGTAGCGTAGCACCAAGCTGACCTATTACAGTTTGGAACTTAACACAGAGCTTACGGGTGACACTTACAATGGACATCAGCGTCAGGATGTAATACTGCAGATTGCTGCCGTGGTGCGCCAGCATTTTGCTGTCGGCAACCAGCATGACTTCCACGAAGTGGCGATAGGAGAGGAAGCGCTTTGATCTCCGGTGAGGTCCTGAGGCGCTGCTGTCATTAGCCCTTTGCTTATTTTCCCTCGCGGATGAAGCATCAGTAGAAAAGCTTTCACTCAAGCTGTCCAGAGCAGCCAGCATGTCTCCGGCAAACGGCTTCCCCTGGTTCCTTTTATGTTTCCTCTGCCTGTGTTTATGTCCTAAAATTAATGAGAAAACAATAAATACCTTCCTGGACATCTGAGGTGAAATCGGCATTTGAAAATGTCTCTATTGACCATAATCCACATGGAAGAGTGCTCCTCTGTCTTGGTTTGGAGATCAACTTTTCCTGACGAGAAATATTAATGGACTGGGAAAGGATGCAACATTATCTGTAGAGCACAGTAAGTCTATGTAAATTTCTTTAATGTTCGGCACACTGCATGGTCGGTGTGTCCCACTAAAACAGATCCAGGAACATAGGCCAGGAGAAGTTACAGACAATTGTCAGTCACAAATAATTAATTCTTTTGGAATAAATCTTTTATGTGAATGAAATGATCTTGGTCACTGACTTGAATCATTCAATTCATTCATTGTTCAGTTTGTTAAATAAGTCATCGATCAGTTTGTTCAATAAATCATCATTCATTCAATGAGTCCTTGATCAGTTTGTTTAATTTGTTCAAAGTGTAAGTCATCATAAAGTTTACTCAATGAGTCATCATTCAGTTTGTTCAATGGGTGACTAATAATCTAGTTTGTTCAATGATCGTTCAGTTTGTTCAAAGAATGAACTGGTCACAAACAGGATCAGTGACCTTGATACCCACCACCTTCTGGGGTAATGATGCATAGAGAATAAATTCAGTGCAGAGTAGGTTGTGAGATTTTGTTGGGTGTATTATTATTGTTAAATAATCTACATCAATCAAGCAGTTTTTTGTATGTTGTCTGAAACATTGTGCTTATAATTATACAGAGAGAATATATCAAGTGGTAAATAACCAAGGGGCATGTGTCATAAATTCGTGAACAAATGTGAACAAGACTGAACAAACCAGCTGAACAAACTCAAAAGTACAGTGTCACTGGAGAGACCAATGATTCTCATCTTTAGTAAGTTACAGCTTCAGTCCCAGTGTGATATTTACTGCTTACTCAGACTACAGTACAATAAGTGGAGAGAATTTCTCTCTGTAAATGGGTTCAGATCCCTTACAAAGAAAAGGCATATGGGGGGAGGTCATGTTAGGTGAAGCCAGCACTCTGCATGAGGCCTGCATGAAGCAATATGACTCTTCTCCAGTAAAAGCAGAATGTGCTCAGTTCCAATTTTCCCCTTTTTACAATGTCACACGTCTCTGAAGACAAACTTTGTTTTCCATCTTGCACAAAAAAAAAAACTTATCCGCAATGCAACACCAGTCAAACAGAAATGACTCTGTCTTCTAAAGTTGTTTCCCCTACTTGCAAATGATTGCAATCGAAGCTAAAACTGCAGAGGGCTATTATGAGAGACATCATCATTCATTTATAGCAGGTTAGACTTTCTGGGCTCAGAATGATTGCTGGGGTCTTCATGCACCTTCTCCAACGGTCGAATATGTGAAACATACCCCTTCATATTTCTGTAGGTGGCATAACTGCCGTTTGTCCACACAGCGACAGATTTCAAACAGCAGAAGCGGGGGCTGCTTCACCTCAATAACATTTACCCAGTTTCTTTATAGTACTGGATTGAATTTCCTTATCTGACTCTGAGAGGAAGTAAGAGAGCCAACAGGAGTTTAACGTAATAAACTCTGATGTTACGATACCAGGCCAAAATGTTTTTCCTGTGCAATAAGCTCTGACAACAAACTATAGGATATGTTTGTTGCTGTTGCAATTCATACAACGAGCGATCCCTCCATACCAGCAAGGTTTCCAAATTAGCTCAGTATATCAGTGCCTTACTCTGATTCCTGCACATCACCCTTTTAGCTCTTATGTAGTCTTATGTAGCCTTATGTAGTGTAAACTTATGCTTTGAATTTAAAAATGCACTATAGTCTCCAAGGATGCTGCGATGGGCATATCACTGAACACCGCAGATCATTTTTCAAACCAGGCTTCATGTTGTCCACGGGTAACAGTACTCTGATTGGATCTGGCACTTTGGATCCAATGTGCTCTCAAGCCCACCTCCCTGAAAGGATCATGCCCCTATGGCGTTTGTGGAGGCCAGTCTCTTCTGTAATATCGCTCTTTCCAGCCCTGATATCTCACTGCTTCCATCGTTTCCCCATGGCTGGTTCATTTACCTGAAGTGTCACACTCAGTCACGTTCCGGGGCCAGGCTGCATGCAAGGCATCCTTTCTGTACACTAGATGAGGTTTGTTATGTTCTTCTTCATAATGTTCACCATTGTAGCTGTGAAGGGGCTCCACAAAGTATTCTCCTTCTGGGGACATGAACGTCCCGAGCTAAAAACACATTAAAAGGTCAAATCAGTTAAGGTAGAGGTAAATTACACATGCAGCAGGTTTTAATCTCACAACCTGATGGATTACATTATTTCTACTTCTCATTTCAAGCTAATCCTCTAGCATAACCGATCCAAAAAGTTATTATTTAAATATGCAGGCTGCACCTTTTTAATGTTAAGCGCCATGTGTGTGTGTGTATAATGTGTGAGTGTAGCCTGCATAGGGGTGGCCCCCATCCTGGGTTGTTCCCTTCCTTGCGCCCGTAGCCTCCGGGCTTGGCTCCGGACCCCCGCGACCCTGAATATGACAAGCTGTTACAGAAAATGGATGGATAGATAATGTTAAGCATTGCCTTTGATAAACAGCTCCAGTATCCAGATGTATACCAGTTGAACAAACAGTAAGAAATAAAACTGAGTTTATGATGACGTAATAATTATAATAAACAAACGTATAAATTGTGTCGAAAAGCTCCTTAGAAAAAAACTTCGGGGAGCTGACTCCGCTGTCTTTGTTTGCCTGCGGATCTGGTTGCTACGGTGAAATTCTTATTGTAATCCATCCTCAGTCGGCATATTCCAGAAAGAGCCGGAAAGCCGTCAACTTGTACCTAAATTACCCTTGGAAATAAAACACCGCACTGGATATCGCTATTAATGCCTGCTAGGCAAACCTGAAGTCAGGCTTGATATTTTCTTAATTAATAAAAAAAGAACATAAGAAAAACGTCCATCAAAATCCCAGTTAACAGAAGTAGCAAATTCGAAAAGCGCAGTGCAAACAACAGTAAGGTCACTATAATGTCTGTCGTACTACAACTTCTTAAATCCTTTGGTACCTACTTCCTTTGGACCATTTAAGGTGGTATAATAGAATAAAAAAGTTTTTCTTCAATATATTTAAGCGTCAAGATACCCAAAACAAAACTAACATAACTGTTAATGCTATCACTTTCTCTCCTTATAATGGCATATATAAAGGGGGCAATTATATCACAGCAAACTTTTAATCTCTATTCGTTTGTGATTATTATAACTCTATACCCATCTATTATGGCTCCTTAAATAGTGCAGGCGTATTAAATGGGAACGCCCACAAAAGCAAAAAAGCAAAAAAAAAAAAACAAAACAAAAAAAAAAGCAAAAGGACATTTCAACAGGTAAACAAGTGGTACAGGCGCACAGATTTTGCGCGGATTTGTTTCAAGGCAGATTGATTATTCCTGAACATGGAAGCGAATGGAACTGGAAGCGTTTTCTTACGCCCTTTGCTCCTCGTCGTCCGCATCAACACACATGGAACCGTTATTGCAGTTCTTCAGACGTGTGTCGCATCTTAGAGAAGTAACAAAGTTTGCCCAACAGTACTCATTTTTCAGCTACGTTTGGGTAAGTTATAATTATTAAACTGTGAAAGAGGTAGATGAAAATATTAGGCCTATTTGTTTAACCTGATGCTATAATATAAAATTTAAACCAGTCACGAGTCGTTTACAAACAATAAGATACTTTTAAAATAAAAAAAAATACTTGCAACTAAACAGCTAGGAAGCCCTGCCAAGCAAAAGGGCCGTGAACAGTTTCTGGGAGTGTGAATCTCATAAGAACATCAGTTATCGCGCTGCATCTGCACTTCGGAAAGACGCATTTCAGTCGCGGACCTACGCAGATCACATCGCTTTATGTCACACAGCCTCGCGTTGCCAAAAAAAACTTGGTCATGCTGACGCCACTGCTTGGGCTCCTGCACTTATGAACGATCATTGCATGGTCGGGACTGCGCTCATAAGTGCGTGTAGCTTATAAGAAAAGGGGAATCGCGACACGATTCAGTAACTATATTTGATTGATGCAAGTTATTTTATATGCCTGCCTAATTCTTATAAGTAGCTGTCTCTCAAATCTAACACTGTTGTTCAATTGTTAATATATTCCCACATATACGCACAGTGATGCTGTATAAATATTATGTGGATCTAGGGAGCTGGGTTTCTGATTGACTTTACCAAAGGCAATATTCTTCCCGAAACTTGGCAGCGCTTGGAAGCGGCCACTCTTACCAGTCCGGAGCAAAGACTGATGACCGCCGGATGCTCCTCTTTTGCATTGACGTGCCCTTTGTAAAAGCAGTGCTGAAGGTCCGTATCCTCCTCTTCATCTGATGGCATGTCTGTCAGGTTATTTCTGGTAGATATTCCGATTATGGAAACGGTGTAAAGAGGAGCGATAAATGTGGAGTCCGAGGTGAGGTTTAAGTGAAAGTCCTGCCCAAAAGCGGAGAGTCTGTAATGGACTGAAGGAGCCCACTGACTGGAGATGCCCTCCGCTGTGTCAAGGCTTCTTTTCTTCCTTTTATAGTGCACGTTAGGTGGTAACTTGTCTCCGGCTTCATTTACTCGCACTGGAGTTACAATCTCATACGCAGCCAACTGTTCAAGACTCTTTGCTGGAAAAAAGCAAAAAGAAACTCAACAAGCAATGAAATTCGGCACGAACGCGTGATAGCGACCTAAATCTCTACTGTTAGCAAGGTTAAGCTTTGTTATTTAACACGCCTAATCTCGCTTAACAGTCATGTGCTTGCCAATTTTAGGTGAAATCCATTCATTCCTCTCACTCGTCTTACACATAGCTGAAAGATTAATTTCCAATGTCCTTACCTCTTCTCGGAGTTAACTGCGGTCTCCCCGTTATCGCCACTGTATTTAAGACGTAAGGTAGTAATGCAAGAAGACGCAGTTTCCACATCAGGAGATGCATAGTTGTCCCGCTATTGGACCCTTTATTACCGTAGCGGCCGTTCCAGTCAGGGCTCAATGTTAAAGTGAGTTTGCTATATTTATAGCTGTATTCCTCACAGTGTGCGCGGGCGATTCATCCAGCCTTCTTAGCTTGGGTTTTGTAGAACCGGGAGCACACTTTTAAAAGCGATCAGGAATGGTAGGCGAAACGTCCGATGGACATGCATATTGCAAAGAGTGGCCGGCGTACAGTCGACTAGAGGTTTTTCTCTCACGGCAGTGGCCGTGGTGGGTGGGGGGCGTGCTCCGAGGACGTGTACCCACCCCTTCCTACTCAGCAAGAGACTCCTATCGATACCGATTAGGCTTTTTCTTCTCGTCGGGATGATGAGTTTTTTTTATGAATGAAAATACGTCCGTAGTAACCAGCGTGCTTATAATGCAATAACACGTTGTTAATAAAAATATTTAAGCTTATATCATCCTGATTGATAATATTGATAATATCGTTAAACTGTATTACGGATACGGAAAAAAACATGCCAATTAGATAGGAGATATTAATGACCTATCGCATGTTTCTAAGCACATATAACCAATGGCCATGTTTTCAAAGCAGGGATTGTAATGACACGTGATTTGCTTAAAATTAATTTTTAAATTATATTTTTAAATTTGCTGGAAAGGTATAGATGTTGTACAGCTTGATAAAAGCTGTTAAAGATTTGCTTTCGGTGAAAAGGCAGTCACAGTAGCGTTGCGTGGAAAAGATAAGAGTTAGGACATAACTGTTAAAAATAAAGTTCTAAAACAATATTTGTAGGGACTAACCATGTTCTGTAGATTACGAATAGACAAAATATCTTTCAGTACATGGAACAGCACAATTTACTGTTTGTTCCCCCTTAGTCAGACAACATTTCGGTCCGTTTTAATGCACACTGTATCCCCTTATAAATTAGCATTATCATATTTTGTTTACGCATCAGCACGTTTTACCACAGTTTTATGCATCTCTTTAAGTTAATTCCCATTGAATTGCTCATGTGTTTTTGCCTCAGGAATTTTTATGGAAATGAACGTTTGCCTATAGCAAAGTCTTGGCTAGCTTTTTACTTAAATTGACACACATTCTTAACAGAATTATAGAATTAGCTTTCTTGTCAGATATTCAGACATTAAGAGAATCTGCTTGTGTGTGTATGTGTGCAGGGGGTGTTATGTATATATTACATTGTGGAAACCAAATGTCTTCATACTGTCATTAAAAACCTGTTTATTTTGATGTGGGGACGGTTTACCGTTTTTTTTCTATCCCCGCAAGAGGAAACTCAATTTTATAAAAATTAGTGAATGCATAAAAAAAAACTAAAAATGTCAACAGTCTTGTATTTTGTTTGGTTACTTATAGTTAAGGTTAGGGCTGGGTAGGGGGTTAAGGTTGTTGATGTTAAGATTAGGGTTATCCTCCTAGAAACGAATGGATGGTCCCCACAAACCTGTGTGTGTGTGTGTGTGTGTGAGCGGGTTTACCTATCCTTATGGGGACATAATGTCCCCATAACGTGATTAATATCCGTTTTTTTTCCCTTTTGGGGGCCGGTTTCCTGGGCCCCATAAGGGAAAACTCTATTTTATAAAAATCGGTGACTGCTATGAAAAAACTAAAAATGCAAAAACTCTTGTATTTTGTTTGGTTACTTGTGGTTATGGTTAGGGCAGGGTAGGGGTTAAGGTTGTCATAGTTAGCGTTAGCATTTTTCCCATTGAAATGAATGAGCGGTCCCCAGTCCATGTGTGTGTG